TCATCTTCTTCATCATCTTCATCATCTTCATCATCTTTATTTGCAGAATTTGCAGTGTATCGACCGATCCAATGAATGTTTTTTTCATTGTCAAAAATTGCATACAAAAATGGACGATCAACAGAAAATTTTGGCAGAAAATTATAATAGAATTTGCTAATCATCGGTACAGAAGCGGTTGAACCTTTGTTTGTGATTCCATTTTTGGTAATCTGAATTCAATATTTCAATTGTTATTTTTTTGTCAGGAAATGGAAAACAGCACGACGACTATTCGATAACAAATTATCGATCAGTCGAGCAAATTTGAAAATTTTATGCTTCCCCTTATAAAATATACCGCACCCAGTTAATTCCCTCTACAGTATTGTCATTCTGTAGATTTTTAATTCCTCTATTACTGGATGACCGTTGTATCATTTTAATTAAATTGCAATCGCAGCAAAGTTAAAATCTCAAGATGGTGGATATGGATCGCCTTGAAAGTAACATTTGAAACTGAGTAAACAAAAAAATTATTAAATTTGAATGAAAGTTGTAACCTTCATGGAAGCGTAGCTTACGATATACTTTGTAATCGATAAATCCTGTCTGGTAATAGAAGATAAATTAATCGATGGGCTAAACAATGATTTCATTCCCATGTGTGCCATTGGCTTTGATAAAAGAAAATATTTTTGGATTTCAAATTCTGGAATCGTAACCTAAAATATTTGAAATCTCCAAAAAAATTTTTTATAAATTCGACCATTCAGCACTAGAATGGAAAGTTTGAAATTCTAAATTACTCATTATAAATGAACAAAAGTTTTGCAAGGAGTTCAAAAAATTCATCGACGCGAATGAATACACAACAATTGAATAAACAAAAAATTATTAAAGTTGAATGAAAGTTGTAAGCAAAAGAGCTAATTAAAGTTTATTTCTAATTTTTATCATTTTAAGAAAATAATAGAACATACCACAATGTCTCCGATTTGCTTAAGACTGTCAATGTAAGCAAGCAATTTCTCTCCGCTAAGCTGTTCCTCAAATTCTGCTAGTCCCGTCTCTAGAGGTAGAAAAATTACCATATTCATTTCATTTTGTAATGGCAATGAAACCACTTGAGCAACCTTATCCTGACAATACCGGAATTTTGCTACCGATTCAATCATTGTCATCTGAAAATGATAGACGACAATTTTATCTAAAATTGAAATACATCATTGGCAGTATTTAATTGATAAGAGCTTTGCTTGAAGTTTGTTTAACGAATGACCATTAAGTTTGACAGGAAAGGATAACTAAAATCATATCAACATTTACACTTATATATCCATATAGGTAATGAAAGAAATCGATATTGCTATTAAAATGTATTAAAGTAGTTAAAGTACACGAATTGCTGTAGATGGTGTAGGATGGAAATCATCCTCGAACGACGTGAAATGATATATCCAGTTCGATTGATAATGCAATTTACTCATAAAAAATAACGAGAAACCAAAATTAATGTAAATGCTATTTTTGATTTCATGTTTAGGCTCATTTTTTAACCAACCAGCAGCTTCCTACAATACAATATTTGAAATTTTTTTTTTGTCCACAATTGAAAGGATTAGTTCGAATTAAAATGATAACGTTGAAATTACACTCAAAATACATTCAGCAATGCATAGTATTAATAATAATTAATTAATTTGGCAAAAAAACTAAAAGTAAAATTTGAATTGATAGTAATACCTTTACAAATTCATCACCTTCACTTTTAATTTGAGTTATTTTTAACATAATACATGAATTTCTCATTGCCCTTCTGAAAAGATTTGTGACTGAGAAAATTTTCTGTTGATAAATAATTGCTGATAGTTGCCGACCTCTCTTATTATAACATATCTGATTACTTAACAAAATACATAGGGCAGAGCCCCTAAAACTGTTAGATGTCGATGTGCCTTGATCTGAAACAAAACTATATGATACTTTCAGTGTTACTTTTCATTAAGTTTTCTATCTGTAAAAGTTTAAAATAAAATTTCCATTCTTATTCTTTAATTCATATTTCTCATTGTCAGAATCTGTTTGCAAATATCATTAAAAGGCAATTAATTTAGAATGAAATTTTATTTTGTTCGATTATAATTATTTTGTATTTATTCATTCATATTTCAGACTCACTGACCTAAACGTGACTCCTCAACTCCGGCAATGAATGCTTCCATCTGATTTCGGATTTTAGGTTCAACTCTATCATACAGAAAAGCAAATACGGAAAAGATAGCGGTTGATGATAGCAACGACGATTCATTTTGCGGCGAAAAACTTAACAGTTTTAACGAGAAATCAACTTGCATCTTTTTCGCCTGTGACCTGTAGCATTTTAACGTTTGATAAAAAAAAAAAAAATTCCCCTAAATTATTTGATGACGTAGTTCACGTGATGTGTTAAATATCCTTAAAACATTAAAGATATTTTACTTAGAGCGGATATAATTGATTATCTCTTTGGTTATCGAGTAATAATACAGCAAAGAATGTAAAAAGTCAAAAATTGAAAAAAAAAAATCAAATTTCATTTCATACCGAATGAATTTCATTTCTGTGAGAGAATTTCGAAGGATTGCCTGTTGGAAAAATTTTTTTTCATTAAGATTTATGAAGGACTAAAGTTGGGAATGCTTGGAGGTTAATAATTTGGTAATAATAGTGGAAAAAAAAAGATTGAAATAAATCAACAACTTACATTTCATCGCCACATCCCGAATCCATGGAACGGCAAGGACCACCCAGTGCTACCAGTACGATAAGTGCTAACTCGATAAGCTTCATCATTGCAATATTTGAAATCACGATTGTTTCATTGATAATGTCTTACCTGAAAATCAATTAGTCTCAATATTTAAAAATATAACTATTAATCTTTCTAATCTCTATCAATTGGTATCCACTAATATCAATTGATAAGAGATTAAGAATTCAGTGGTGCGGAGGTCTTTCAACTTAGTCCTTCTTTAGCTCAACAATCGATAGATGCTATTGATCTTAATCGGTTGGCTTTTTCGCTTGATATGGGCTTCAAAAAGTACGTCTTATACAAAAATGATACGTATAAACTGAGGAAGAGAAACGTGGAGTATTTCCACTCTAACATTCATCGAAAACTGATTCGAATCTTTTTCGGTTTCCGAGTAAGCGGAAACATCATTTCAAGCTGCTCCATACACATTTATGGGAGAAAAATGATGTTTGATGTTGGAATAATTCAATTTCAAAGTTTTCGCTCAAAGATAAATCCTCTTAACCAACTAAAAAATTATAACAATGTATAATTTACAGTACCATAAAAATATTCATGAATTAATCCTTATAGACAAACGCCATCAAATCATATGCCACACATTTTTTGGGATAAAATTTACATATATATATATAAAATTAAATTCAATATTATTGAAAAAATAATATAATTTTGATTCCTTTATAAGCAAATAAACTGAATGATTTTCATGTCAACGTATTTAAGATTTCACTTTAGGCTTCAGCTATTAAGTTTAATGTGTCATATGCATTAGAAAAGAATGTCGCTCTTACTAGTCAACTAAAGTTATGGAAAATTGGAAATCAATTTTTTATAAAAGTATTTGAAGTCAAATTCCTATAATCTATTCAATATTTTGAAAATTTTTTTTTTTCATTATTTTATTCTGATCTTTTTTTTTTTGATTGATAAAAACTGAAATTTTGAATTTGAAGGTAATTTCGATTCATCGAATTATATGAAGTCAGTAATGCTTTTACATATTATTCATAAAATAAGTATTATTATTTGATTTCCTTTATAACTATCACATCAGAATCTCGTCTTTTTTTCTTGGTATATTACAGGAATTTGATTTTTTCAAATACTTTTATAGAAAATTGATTTCCAATTTTTCCATATCATCTTTTTTCTTAATTGATTATCTCTGAAATTGAATGAATTTCCTTTTCATTCAACAAAAAATTTTCTTTTACAATTTATCGGTTATATAACAATGTGGCTTATTCAATCATAAATATGCATTTCATACACTATTTTTATTTTCTTCCGAACGATATTACGATAGAATTTAATCCGTTATTGATTTTTCTTTTCAAATTATCTGCTACATAATTTTCGCAAATGTTCCACTTCTAAAATTTAATGATTCGAAATAATTTTCATTTTATATGAATGCGAAAAGGATGAATCGGGAATGATACAATTTTAAAAAAAAAATTTTTTTCAGAACATTTTTTAATAAATTTATAAAATTTTGCAAAATTGGTTTATTTGATATTTTATGTGAATGAAAAATTATTACATTATTAGAAACTGTTCCAGTAATTTTTTTTTTTTACTTCCTTAATCGTAAATGTATTTTAAAGTATTGTGTGAGATGAAAAAGGGTAAAGGAGTTGAAATTTCTTCCTTATTTATTTATCGAACCGCATACAAAATTGCTTCAAGCATATTTTTAGGCATATTTTTTGTCTTTAAATTTGGGAATTGATAAAAATGATATATGCGATCATTAACTTCATTTGCTCGATGATATTTTAATCAAATGTTGCCTTTATTGTTTATCTAAAGCTTCTCGGCCATTTATCAAGCAACGTTTGCGCTAACATCAATCACCCAAATCATTAGCAATGAAAAAAATCAATGACTCAAAAATCTTTATTTAAATTGAATAATTTCAGTTTTCCTATAAACTGGTATTGATTTTTATCTTTTTATTGTTTAATGCATATTTCAAGTTCCCTTTTTTCAAAATTTATTTAAAGTGCAATTGCATTTTAAAGTCGAATGCGAAAAAGTTTATTATTACGATTTTCCCAATTATCTTGAAATTCATTTTTTATTTAAAAAAAAAAAATGCTTTAAAAAGAGAAAACTAATAGTGTGCAATGATTTGTTTGTTTTTTTTTTTTTATTTGGAATTAAATTATGTTGCTAATACTTCGTTGGTAACTAATTGGACCATTCGTTGATAAAGAATTGTGGTATAAAAAATGATTGCATTTATTTTGTCTATCTCAATTATTAAATAAAATTAAAATGTACTATTGTGATTTTGCATAGAGGAAAGTTGAAAAATTCAACTTCCCTTGTCATCTTTTTTCTTAAGTTAAAATGTTAGCGTGAAATTTTATTTGAATTAAACGAAATGAAGATTATACGATAAAAATTTATACTTTTAAAGACAAAAAGTTCAAATTCAGTCTTATAAAAGATAGAAATTGTCAAAAAAAAAAATTTAGTTTGATAGATTGAGAAGAATGGATGGATGTGATAATCACGATTAAAATTAAATGGGAATAAAGGGATTTAAATGATTATGAAAAATTCACCAATGAGAATTAAAATTGCGCTCAATTTTCCTCTGTAAGCTTTCATTTTCCCTTAAAAAATCGAAAAGTTAAGCAAAATTGGACGAATTTTAAAATTGAGCCTTTAATGGACTACTTTGACCATATCAATCTTTTTTTAATAAATTCAAAATTTATCAGTCTCATGAAGTTATTCTACAATCTTTACAAATTTCTATTAAGTTACTTGTTAAATATTCCCACACTAAAACGTTGTTCCGTTCAGGGATTATTTTTTTAAATTTCTATTTCTTTTGTGTTTTTGCCCTGAGCTATCACATTCTGACCATTCAGAAATATTCCATAAAAGAAGAAAAAAAATTATTACTTATACTTGCATTGCATTTCAAATATGCTTCATGTCTAATTGTTTACATATCATTCAATATTTAGAATGATTGGAAATATTTTGTTATTATCGCTGTTTTAAAATCTCAAAAAATCCCTCTTATTCGAAATCATTCGGTCACATCTGAATTGAAAAATGAATACATAACAAATCGATTATGTAAATTTGCACACATGTAATAATTTGAAATTATTATTGTTTTTGATAGTTATTGCTATCTATTATTGC